GAGCTGGGGGTGTTCAGCCTGGAGAAGAGGAGGCTGAAGGGTGACCTTATCGTTCTGCAGCTCCTGACAGGAGGGGGTAGTGAGGTGGGTGTTGGTCTCTTCTCCCAAGTAGTTAGCGATAGGATGAGAGGAAATGGGCTTAAGCTGCGCCAGGGGAGGTTTAGGTTGGAAATTAGGAAAAATTTCTTGACGGAAAGGGTGGTCAAGAATTGGAAGAGGCTGCCCAGAGAGATGGTGGAGTCCCCATCCCTGGAGGGGTTAAAAAAATGGGTAGATGTGGCACTTGGGGACATGGTTTAGTCTAGTCTACCCTTGATTGGCTTAGAGTAGACTTGGTAGTGTAGGTTAATGGTTGGACTGGATGATCTTAAAGGTCTTTTCCAACCTAAACGATTCTAGGGTTCTATGATTCTATGATTTCCTGTGCAAGGGGAACTAGGGACACGTTTCTCCACCAGTTTTAAAGAGAACTGAGGACTTCTGTCATGTTCTGAGGGTCTGCCATAATACATCAATCCCCGTACCTCAAACCCGTCTCTGTCAGAGGAAAGGACCCGTTACAATGCTTTGTTGCTGGTGTTTCTCTCCCCGTTTCTCCCCTTTCTCTCCCATCCTTTAAGAGGCAAAAGGAAATAAGAACTTTCCTATGCCTAGGGCTGTACTTTCCTGGGAATGTCTGTCCCTATCCAGGTCCCAGCTTGGTGCCGCTGCATCCCAATGCGTGTGGGGAAAACTAGAGAGTGAGACCATGACCAAGGGGGCTTCTGGTGAAAGATACAGAAAGGGAATGGCTGGGAACCAGATCTGTAGAAACAATAAGCTAAGGTGTCATTAGTATTTTAAAAAAAAGTAATAATCCTTCCTCTCAGCACCTGGGCCTGAACCAGGTACTGTAGGGAGTCTGACATGGGGTTAAGGCAGATCGACTCCACAACCTCAGCAGCTTTTCACTGTCAATTTTCCCTCCAATTTCCATGTGAATGTTTTCTGATTTACAACCGGTCACTTGGAAGTCTAATATTTCCCAGCTGCACTATGGGTGGCATTTGTCCCCTTGGGATCTCTCAGGACCTTTCACAAAGAAGCTGTCTTATGCATCACCTCAAACCAAAGGAGGAATGAGTTCATGAAGTCCAATTTCTTCTGAACAAAGTTTTAGGGCACTCAGCGATGCTCATGACTTGTAATCTTCTCTGAGTAGACGAAATGACTAATGGAAAGGAACTTTGGAAGATAAGCAGTATAGAAAGCATCCTTTTTTGCTGACAGATATTCCTAGCTTATATAGATTGTTTCTGTCCTGGTAATTACATTAATATTAGCACCTACTTAATTGTTTTGTTTTTATTGTTCTCTGTTTTTTTATTTGATGAATTTCATGGATATTTGGCAATACTATTTTCTCCATCTTAAAATACATCTTGTTATCTCAGTCCATTATGCCTATTCCGGAGCTTCCTTAGGATGTTTCCATCATAGCTGTGCTTTGCATTAGAGCAGCGATATATGCGTCACTGGTTTTCTGGGAAGTTCCTGACAAAAAAGAGGGATCTGAGAAGAACCAGAAATACTCATTACACAATGTGTGGTAGAGGAAATAATACTTGAATTACTGTCAAAGACAGCAGTATGTATAAGGCAAATCATAATGACAATAAACAAAGGGGGAAATGAAGATGAAAAATGAAGACAGAAAATGGGGACTGGGCCAAGTAAATAATTTTTTTTATTTAATACACAGGAAGAACCTTCAAGTCAGTGTGGGATGAAAAAGGACAGAAAAGCCAAGTTTATTTTAGAACAGATAATTCCAGCTGTTAGTCTGATATTTCACAGCTGTGCTTGCTCTTTGGCAGGTGAATGAAACTTTCTCTAGTGATTCCAGAGGGAGCAGGACCAGCCCCTGTGTGACTCGCTCAACTACACATGAGGATTTACACTTGGGATATTCTTCTTCATCTGTCCCGTCCAAGCAAATCCTTTGTCATGCCAACACTTTATACTGTCCACATTCCCCAATTCCACCTGCACCTCTAGCCATCCCAGGACCTCTTTCATCTGCATCCCAAGTTAGGTGTCGATTTGCCATCTTTACCCTACCAGCATCCCATGCTTAGTAAGCTGCAGGACTCAGGCACTCCACCTATGCCATATGCATCATACCTTTGCACGTGTGTAAACACTTTGGCTGTTGTTAACAGCGTCTTGAGGCTGCTTCTGGCCCATGAAAGAGCGAAGCTTTCATGGGAGCTGCATCTATGCGAAAGTGAACTCCAGCAAGGTCCAGAGATATTGCCTATACCTACAAATCCTCCCTCAGTTATGTCCCAAGACAGTCATAATGAAATAGCTATTCTACCCTTAATTGGTTTAGTGGTGGACTTGGTAGTGTTAGGTTAATGGTTGGACTGGATGATCTTAAAGGTCTTTTCCAACCTAAACAATTCTATGATTCTATAGGAAACAGCGATACTTCTATTGTTATGGTGATTTTCTTTTTTATTGTTGAAGAAAACTTCAGTTTGAAATAAGATAAAGTATTTGGGATGGGAGGGATTTGTCTCTAGCCTTCTAAAAGTAGGATTTAAGTCACTGGATTTTGGATTCTTGCAATGCAGGAATCACAGATGTGCCAGTTGACCCCACTATAAAAACGGAGATCCCGTAAACACAATCAGTGGAGCTGAGAGCGTAACTAGGTAAGGGGAGAAGACAGTAGTGAGGCATCATGGTTTCTAGTGAAACCTCTGCTAAAACAATATTGTAATCAATCACCAAAAGTTCTCCAAAACTTGTTAACTAACGTGAAACAGCTTCAGTGAAAGTGCTGCCCTGCAACAAGAAAACCACAAAGGCTATGACCCCCTGTTACTTCTTTGAACGTTCTGATCAGAACATTTTCCCTTCTTTCTCTGATTTAGACCTAGCTTCCAAAAAGCAGATTTAGATTCCTCAAAAGACCATAAAGACTCATTCACTGACCAAAGGAACAAAAGTTTATTAGGTTGGGTCCGGGGCATGAGGGCCCCTTTGCCCACTGGGCTGCCTGCAGGGCTCAGCATCTTCAGCCCCTGCTGCCACCCTGCGTTCCCCTGTCTGACCATGCCCCAGTCCCACCAGCACATGCCATTTGCACCATCGGATGTCTCCACATGAGCCTGAGGTAGCTGCAACAAACCCCATCTCTGGTGGGAGCCGCCTCCCATGGGCTGTCACATTGCACGGGAGCCCTCCAGGCTTGGCCACAAGTCAAAGCGATGGAGAAGTTGGCACACAGGCTGCAGACCTGGCCAGCATCCAGGGTCACTCCTCCTCCCCTGCTCTACCTGGCCTGTGCCCCTTGCTCAGCATCGCCTCATACCAGGCATGAGGAGAGGCACCAGCCTCGAGGAGACCTGAGGATGCTTCCTCGGTGGCTGTCCCCACCACAGTCCCAGGCAGAGGAGGCACATCACCAGCCCAGCCACTTGCCCCTCTGCTCTGCCCCACGGGAGCAGCCCCAGCCTCCCTCCCCTCACCAGCAGGCATTCAAACAACCATCTCCGCAGCTGCCATCCTGGGGAGGCGGCTCCCTTCCTTGCACGCTGTTTTCTCTTCAAACACTCAGTGAAAAGTGGTTCTCACCAGGCCCCAGAACCGGGGCTGCCGGTAGCTCCCCACTAGGAAGCCAATTAATGGGTTAATGCTCCTTTTTGCAGCCACCACCAGGAATGATGAACTAAGTTCATCATGCTCAATAAATAAGCTTTCCAAAACTTGCTCGACAGTTAAAGGAACAGCAAAGATGAAGAAGAGGCTGGTGAGAACTGCTACGTACAGCCTCCCTGGGGGACGCCTCGGCGAGCAGCACTGGAGGTTGGTGAATAAGATTGAGGCTGACAGCAGTGGCAGGGTGGAGAATGTGAGGGAACTCAGAAGGTCTGCACCTCTGAATATGTTGCCACAGACAGACATTAGGTAAAAATTACAGCAAATAGAAGTTAAGGAAATGAAAAGGCCAGGCAAAGCCCAGAGCACCCCACACACGTGGTGGTGGCATCGGTACCAGATTGGGAAGAGGACAGAGAGACATTGCTCCACACTGATTGTCAGGAGGTACATGCTGCTAAGGTAACAGAAGAGAAACAGGAGGTCAACTACAATGAAGATCACATCTGGGAAGTTCAAACAAAAAAACCTATCTGTGCTGTGTAAGGCAAATGGTAAACAAAAAAAAAAAAGGGATCAGAGAGAAGCCAGCAATGCCCAGGTTCAGGAGGTAGACAGTGAAGCCCCCCAGTGAAGGGCCTCTTCTTCATGTGGAAGTCCAGGCACTGCATGACCACCACATTTCCTGGCATCCCACAGAGCCAAACACCCCACCAAAACAGTGCACAAAACTCAAACATAAAAGTCTGTGATTCACAAGACCGGCTGTCTCTCCCATGCGCTCCATCATACAAAGAATCATTGAATAGAGAGAGGTCTGTTGTGTTGGTCTCCTCCATCGCAAATCACCCTGCTCTGGGTGGCCACCTTCTCCCTCTCCAACCACCTCCTAGGGGAGACGAGGAAGGAGAAGGAAATGAGGGGCATCAGCATTCCCAGCACTCGACATCTTTCACCACAGCCCCACACCATCCCCAGGGTACGCCAGGAAGGACCCCGTCCCCTGCTGTGCCCAGGACAGGCTCCCACCCCTCCAGCCCTCTCCCTGGCCAGGAGGCATCTCCTACCTCCTGGTGCTCCTGGGAAGAGTGCTGCTGCAGGAGACCCAGCACACGGGGCTTCCACAAGGCCAGGCTTGCCAGGAGAAAGAGGATGGTGATGGCTGCCAGGACCACCCACTCTGTTTCAGCTTCCTCTTTCGCACCTGGGAGACATCACGTCCTGTGGTCAGGAGACACCACTCACAAATCTCATCACATTGGTGACAGCTTCCCCTCACATGTCCCATGGACGGCGATCTTGTCAGTAGGAGATGGCCACATCACCACCTTCCTCTCCTCCTGCCATCCTCCAGCTTTGTCCCACCATGCGAGGGGCTTCTGGCTTTTGCTGTGTACCTGGCGCTGGACCAGGAGACCCTTCACATTGGGAAATCACCAGTGTGTGGATATGCAACAGCATAAGGTCTTCACCTGCTGTCTCTAACAAAACTCCCCAGGTGTCTCGGCTTAGAGATTGCATCTGTGGGTTACACGGGGCTGCAAATGAGATTTTATCTGCAAGATTCTTGTCTTGCCAAATCTCATCCATCAGCATCATGGAGACAGCTCACTTTTCTCTGTATTTCTTTTTCTTTCCCATTCTCTTTCTTTCTTTTTTTTTCTTTCTCCCTTTCTTTCTTTCTCATTTTCTTTCTCTCTTTCTTTCTCTCCATCTCTCAATCTCTCATTCATTCTCTCTTTCTCAGTTTCTCTTTCTTTCTTTCTTTCTTTCTTATTTATTTATTTATTTATTTTTCTTTCTTTCTTTCTTTCTTTCTTCTTTCTTTCTCTCTTTCTTTCTTTCCTTCTCTCTTTCTCATTCTTCAAATTGTATTTTTACCCCATCTCTTGTTGTCTACACCACTAATCCCCCCAACACCTACCAGGACCCCTTGGCTTGCCCATTTTTGCAATCATTTTTGCAGACCCATGCCTTGTTTGGACAACAGAGATGGCCAGAACTTCCCCAGGGCCTAACGTGTCAGACTTTCCCCAGGCAAGAGATCCCCCAAAACACCAGGAAACTCATCTGCTGAGCCAAAGGAACCAGAGTCTATTTGCTGGGGCCAGAACAGTGAGGGTCATTGCAATGAGGAATACAGCTGGTGCCCAGGGACCAAGCCCAGCTGAGCAGGGCTGCACTGGGTCTATGCCATGTGCCCCCATGCTGAGCTGCAGCGTTGTTCCCCTCCCTGGCAGCAAGCAAGCACTGAGTGCATGGGGACCTCCATCCCCCAGGCTGCCTGCAAGGCTCCGCATTCTGGGCCTCCTCGCCAGCAGTGCTTTATAGAGTGGTCTCCATCGCAGTGTCCTCAGGTACATGGCTCTTCTCCTCGCTCACCACTTTCTCTTCAAACACTCGACGGAAGGCAGCTTTCATGAAGCCTTGGAACCTGCGCTGCCGGCAGCTCCCCACAAGAAAGTAAATGACTGGATTGATGCTGCAGTTCAGCAATGCCAGCAGAAAAGATGTATGTTCAGGAAACAATTCATGCGAACTTGGAAGGTTGAGGAAAACCTCTACGCTGAAAGGAATACCAAAGGCAAAGAAGAAGATCACGTTGAGAAGGACAGCAACATAGAGTTTCCCTGGGTGTCGTCTCTGTGAACCACATCGGAGTTTGATGAACAGGGATAGGTTGGAAATCAACATCACTGATGACAAAATAATGGCAATTGCAATGGCTACACATGCAAATACTGTCTCGTAGCTCTCAGCAAAGTTAAAGCTAAGATACATTGAGGAAACAAAAAAACCAGCGAAAGCCCAGAGCACCCCACTCATGACACCTGATAAGTGCTTTGGGCGGTGGCAGCGATACCAGATTGGGAAGAAGACAGAGATACACCGCTCCACACTGATTGCTGTCAGGAGACCTAGGCTGCTAAGGTCGAAAAAGTGGCACAGAAATCCGACTACAAATACAAATTCTATGTATAAAGAAAAAAAATTATACGAATAAGGACAAGTTGCTGTTAAACTCAAAATTGCCAACATGAGCAGAAAAAACAGGAGGAGCAGAGAGAAGTCAGCAACAGCTAGATTTAGGATGTAGACGGTGAAAGGGTTCTGCTTCATGTGGAAGCCCAGGAACCACATGACTATCCCATTCCCCGCAAGTCCACAGAGAGAAATCCCCATACAGACACTTGCAAAGACCATCAATTCGTAAGATAGTCTTGGGCAAGCATATTCAATATTTTTCCTGTAGTACTCATATCCAGAAGTCATGTAGGTCAGAGAGAGGTCTGTTGTGATGGTCTCCTCCATCGCAAATCACCCTGCTCTGAGTGGCCACCTTCTCCCTCTCCAACCACCTCCTAGGGGAGACAAGGAAGGAGAAGTAAATGAGGGGCATCAGCATTCCCAGCACTCGACATCTTTCACCACAGCCCCACGCCATCCCCAGGGTACACCAGGAAGGACCCCGTCCCCTGCTGTGCCCAAGACAGGCTCCCACCCCTCCAGCCCTCTCCCTGGCCAGGAGGCATCTCCCACCTGCCCATCCCTGGCCTCCTACCTCCTGGTGCTCCTGGGAAGAGTGCTGCTGCAGGAGACCCAGCACACAAGCCTGGCCGCGAGGCCAGGCTTGCCGGGAGAAAGAGGATGGTGATAGCTACCAGGGCCACCCACTCTGCTTTGGCCTCGTCCCTCATGCCTGAGGAGCAGACCTTTGCCCAGAGATCATGTTCTGTGGTCAGGAGACCCCCCTCACAATCTCATGACATCGGTGACAGCTTCCCCTCACATGTCCCATGGACGGCGATCTTGTCAGTAGGAGATGGCCACATCAGTTCCTTCCTCTCCTCCCCCCAGTTTTTCACCAGGAGGTGCTGATCTGTTATAATCCCATTACGAAAGGCACTCAGACTCCGTGAAGTGTCATTTTAAATGCCATTTACTAGATCTAAAACAATGAAGAAGGAGAGGATAGCACAGATAATCTTATGTCCCTTCAGGTGTTGGGAAGCCCAGGTGTGGCAGCACCAAACAGGCCTCTGATCAGGGCAGATAATGTCCATGGAAAAGTTACCCCATTATGGTCATTTGAGCTATTACAGGATTTTTTTAAAAAAGAAAACAACTCATTCTACTGTCAGACAAAATGGATGTACACATGAGAACCGTTGCAGCAGTCTTAGATAAAGGCAAGGACGTGCAGGTGGGGTAATCACAACACCCAATGGGAGCTGCCTGCAGGCTTATCCCTTATCATCAACCAACCAGGTTTATCCCATGGCCAATGGAGATGCACAGCATGGCACAGCACAGCATGGCACAGTGCGGGCCTGGGACTACTCAGGTTGAGTGTTTTGTGGATCACTAACTCCATGATGCATAATGGTCTTCTAGTCAGGACCTCTACAACCCCGTCCTCCAGCTTCAGCTGCCATGCCAGGGTCTTCTGGGTTTTGCCATGCAAAGCTGGTGGTGGAAGCCTTCCTCTAGCTCTCTTCTGTTCCTTTGCTATCCTTACAGCCTGCATCACCAAGGGCATGGTGTGGAAGAGATTTGGCAGGGCAAGAGGAAGGCAGAAATATGAGAATGAGTGAGATGAGCCAGGGACCATCAACAATGGGGATGAACGAGCAGAAATCCCTCAGAAGTCCCTGACTGTCCCATGGCCTTAACACTCCTTCTTCTTCTCATCATTCCTCAGGTGCAGAACCACTTCTGGTCATGCCCGTTCCTTCCCCTGCCCCTCCAGCCTCATCATACACCCACTCCCTGCAGCTGGGATGCCAACAGAGACCCCTCAACGGCAGCCAATGAGGCAGAGCACTGGCCCTGTCTCAAGTTGCGTGAGAAATCACCAGTACTCAGATACAGAACGGCACGAGGGCTTTGCCCTCTGCCTCTAATCACATCCCTGACATGCATGTGTCTCCTCTGAGATTACATTTTGTGGGGTACCTAATGCCACTGCTGCAAATGTGCTTTTATCTACAAGTGGTTCCTGTCACACAATCTCATCCTTTAGCATTAGAGGGACTAGCATTTTCATTACTTATTTTCTCTCCCTCTTTCATGTGTTTTCCGTCTTTTGCATACCTCTTCTTGAGAGTTATTGCCTATGCTTGTCATCCCCAAGACTGATGTCCTCCAAGGATGTCCTTTAATTTCATATGGTGAACACACAGTAATGAACAAGGTCCATAGTCTCTCCAGGGGGTCCAGCCTGGAGCTACAGGAGTTGGGGCCAGAGGTAGAATCATAGAATCATAGAATCATTTAGGTTGGAAAGGACCTTTAAGGTCATCCAGTCCAACCATTAACCTAACATTACCAAGTCCACCACTAAACCAATTAAGGGGAGAGTAATAATTTCATATTTCCTGGCTTGGTGGCTGGATTACTTTTTAATGAAAGTAGAACTAGAATAGAATCATTAAGGTTGGAAAGGATCTCTAAGATCATCAGTCCAACCATCAACCCAACACCCCCATGCCCACTAAACCATGTCCCAAAGTGCCACGTCTGCCCATTTTTTGAACACCTCCAGAGATGGGGACTCCACCACCTCTCTGGGCAGCCTGTTCCAATGCTTGACTACTCTTTCTGTCAAGAAATTTTTCCTAATATCCAATCTAAACCTCCCCTGATGCAGCTTGAGCCCATTTCCTCTCATCCTATCTCTAACTACTTGGGAGAAGAGCCCAACACCCACCTCACTACAACCTCCTTTCAGGTAGCTGTAGAGAGTGATAAGGTCTCCCCTCAGCCTCCTCTTCTCCAGGCTAAACACCCCCAGCTCCCTCAGCCGCTCCCCATCAGCCCTGTGCTCCAGACCCTTCCCCAGCTCCGTTGCCCTTCTCTGGACACGCTCCAGCACCTCAACGTCTTTCTTGTACTGAGGGGCACAAACCTGGACACAGTATTTGAGACTTGAAACAAGGCTAGACCATAGGCTTAAGCTCTGTCCATGAGAGTGCGATGGAGACAGGTCTTCAGACAGGCACAACTCATGCAAAGCTCAAACAAAGCCTGGTTGCTCAGGCCTGACCCTAACTGGAGCCCCTGGTCCCATGGGCAGGGGATGAATGGGTGGGGTCAGGGAAAATAAGGCCTGCTGTTGTCTTCAGGACCCTGGAAGAGAGAATCAGAGTGCCTCACATGGACAGTTCAGTGTGCTATGTTGTTCAGTCGTCCTTCATGAGATTAAGTCCCTCTCTTCCCCTTTCCCACAGTTTTGGGCCTATAAAAATCAGCTCATCATTGTCCTACAATGACAGCATGTGTTTTTCTTTCTTCATCTCCACTGTGAAAAACATTTCCCTTTATTGATTTCTTCTATGGCTTTGTAGCACCAAATTTCTCACAAGTATTATGTTCCATGCTTTGACAGATTGAAGCAAAGCCTCTATCTGACGGTAATGTCTCCCAGAAGAAAGTTGGGAGAAGTCTTTGAGCACCAGTTTACAGATCATTAGAGGCACTGAGCAAAGCCCTCATGCTGTTGCACACCTGCACATCAGTGATTTCCCGCTGTTGAGGGTCCCTGGCTCATCTCTCACTCTCACCTTTCTGCCATCCTCCATCCCTGGGAATGATTTATGTACCCTCCTGTGTTGACAGATGGAGCTTTCCCCATGCAGTCAAGTGGTGCGGCTGGAAAGTAACAGGAGAGCACGTTACTCTGCAAAACTGTGCCCAAAGCTTCCTGGTCTGGGATAATACGCCCTTCACACACCTCCCACATTGTACATGAACCGTCCAGCCAGCATCATCCCTTATTGGCATGGTGCTCCTCTCTCTTCCTTCACCTCCAAGTAGAAGATCTTGCTTGCCCTTGGCTCTGAGGGGGTTGTCTCCTATGGTTTGGGGGCTATAGCGAAGTTACTGAAAGTACGTTCCAGGTTTTGCCACACATTATGGCAAAACCTCTGTACGGGGGCAAAGTGCCCCTGGAGACAGCAGGGGGAAGTCTTGGACCACCAGGTACACACAGTGAAAGCCATAAGCCCTTGCATGGTGGGACAAAGCTGGAGGATGAAGGGGGTGACGTGGCCAACTCTTACTGACAATATCGCTGTCCATGGGACATGTGAGCGGAAGCTGTCACTGATGTCATGAGATTGTGAGGGGAGTCTCCTGACCACGGAATGTGATCTCTGGGCAAAGGTCTGCTCCTCAGGCACGAGAGACAAGGCCAAAGCAGAGTGGCCCTGGCAGGCATCACAAGACCCTTTCCCCTGGCAAGCCTGGAGGCCTCGTGTGCTGGGTCTCCTGCAGCAGCACTCTTCCCAGGAGCACCAGAAGGAGGGAGATGCCTCCTGGCCAGGGAGAGGGCTGGAGGGGTGGGAGCCTGTCCTGGGCACAGCAGGGGACGGGGTCCTTCCTGCCGCAGCCTGGGGCTAGCTTGCAGCCATGGCGAAAGATGTTGAGTGCTGGGAATGCTGATGCCCCTCATTTACTTCTCCTTCCTCACCGCTCCCAGGAGGTGGTGGGAGAAGGAGAAGGTGGCCACCCAGAGCAGGGTGATTTGCGATGGAGGAGACCATCACAACAGACCTCTCTCTGACCTACGTGACTTCTGGATATGCAGACTATCAGGCAGTTAATGAATCTCAGTGTATGCTAGGAGATTTTAGCATGTTGATAATTTCAGCTGTCTGTATTGGTATTTGCCTGTGTGGACTTGTGGGGAATACGGTGGTCGTGTGGTTCCTGGGCTTCCACATGAAGAAGAACCCCTTCACTGTCTACGTCCTGAACCTGGCCATCGCTGACTTCTCTCTGCCCCTGTTCCTTCTTGTTAAACTTATACTACACGTTATTTCAACAGTCTATTGTATTTTCTCATTTCAATATCTTCTCACCGGTTATATGCTGATGGCTCTGTTTCTGTTTTCATATTTTGCCAGCACGAATCTCCTGACAGCAATGAGTGCAGAGAGGTGCCTGTCTGTTTTGTTCCCAATCTGGTACCAGTGTCGCCGCCCAAAGCACTTGTCAGGCATCCTGTGTAGGGTGCTCTGGGCTCTTGCCGGACTTTTTGTTTCTTTGGCTTTGATTAGTTGTTATTTGCATATAAGCTGTGAACAACCATTACAAGGTTTAAGCACTGTGAATTTTCTCATTTTGTTTTTATTCCCATTCCTTTCCAACCTTACACTATCATCAAACTCCGGCGTGGCTCACAGAGACAACACCCAGGGAAACTCTGTGTTGCTGTCCTACTCGGTGTGATCTTCTGGTTCATCTTTGGGTTTCCTTTCAGTGTGGTGATGCTCTTTAATCCTATTTATTTCAAACTGGTTTACCTTCATATTTCTTACCTTCTGGCATCACTGAACAGCAGCATCAACCCATTCATTTACTTTCTGGTGGGGAGCTGCTGGCAGCATGGGTTCCAGGGCTCTGCAAAAGTCAACCTCCACCAAGCATTCAAAGAGAAAGCGGTGAGTGAGGCGGGGAGCCACGTGCCTGGGGACACTGCGGTGGAGAGCACTCTGTAAGGCACTGCTGGCGAGATGGCCTGGAGATGTGGAGCCTCGCAGGCAGCCTGGGGGATGGAGGCATGGGGGCTTGTAGCACGGACCCAGCGCAGCACTGCTCAGCTGGGCTCGGTCCCTGGGCTACGGCTGTATTCCCCATTTGCAGTGACCCTCAATGCTCTGGCCCCAGCAAATAAACTCTGGCTCCTTGTGTTCAGCAGATGAGTTTCATGGTGTTTGGGGGGATCTCTTGCCTGGGGAAAGTCTGACACGTTAGGCCCTGGGGAAGTTCTGGCCATCTCTGTTGTCCAAACAAGGCATGGGTCTGCAAAAATGATTGCAAAAATGGGCAAACCAAGGGTGCCATGCAGACATCTCACCAGCACCGCTGCGCCCGTGCAGAAGTGAAAAGCTAAGCAAGGAGTAGAGGCAATTGGTCCCGTGGGAAGCAGCTGTGTGGCTCATCCGCGGGGTAGTGCAGCCCCCTCCTGACCCTGGTTCCCTCGGCATGGAGACATTGAGATGGCAGAGCTGGCCGTGCCTCTCTGTCTGCTGCCGCCATGCTGGGAGGTGGAGGGTGAGGACCCCTGGGAGAGACACTTGCTCCTGGAAGCTGAGCAGGATACATAGAATCATAGAATCATTTAGGTTGGAAAAGACCTTTAAGATCATCCAGTCCAACCATTAACCTAACACTACCAAGTCCACATTAAACCAATTAAGGGGAGAGGAATAATTTCATGTTTCCTGGCTTGGTGGCTGGATTATTTATAATGAAAGTAAAAACTAGGAATCATTAAGGTTGGAGAGGACCTCTAAGATCATCAGTCCAACCATCAACCCAACACCCCCATGCCCACTAAACCATGTCCCAAAGTGCCACGTCTGCCCATTTTTTGAACACTTCCAGGGATGGGGACTCCACCACCCCTTCCGGCAGCCTCTTCCAATGCTTGACAACCCTTTCCGTGAAGAAATTTTTCCTAATATCCAATCTAAACCTCCCCTGATGCAGCTTGAGCCCATTTCCTCTCATCCTATCACTGGTTACTTGGGAGAAGAGACCAACACCCACCCTCACTACCCCCTCCTGTCAGGAGCTGCAGAGCAATAAGGTCTCCCCTCAGCCTCCTCTTCTCCAGGCTGAACACCCCCAGCTCCTTCAGCCGCTCCCCATCAGCCCTGTGCTCCACACCCTTCCCCAGCTCCGTTGCCCTTCTCTGGACACGCTCCAGCACCCCAATGTCCTTCTTGTAGTGAGGGGTCCAAAACTGGACACAGCATTCCAGGTGCAGCCTCACCAGTGCCAAGTACAGGGGGACAATCACCTCCCTGCTCCTGCTGGCCCTCATGAACTGAGGCTAGCTGGCAACTCAGCTGCACCAAAATTCCCCTCCCAGCTCAGCTGAACCCCTCTGCCTCCTCCGGGCCTGTGCGGACTCCCCCGAGCAGGAGCAGGACCCCCAGGCCCCCGCTGCTCACCCACACCCTGGGCTGGGAAGGCTGCGGGGACACATCCAGCGCGGGGCCGGCAGTGTTTTCACAAATATCTGCGGGGTTGATGCCTCTAGATGGCAGGAGAGGGGTATGGATCGCACAGAGCATCCTTGCTCTTGTCTGAAGAGCCAGGCAGCAGAGCCGGCCCTGCACACCCAGCTGATGGAAAGGGAAACAAACCAACATCAGGTAGGGCTGCAGAGTTGGGGAAGAAACAAGAGCATTCTCTTGTACGTTAAGTGGGAATTTGTCACACCGTTTCGTTCCATGGTTAAATCGTTCTGAGAAAAGTACGGGTTCGACAGCGCCGGAGGATTGCGAGTGGCATGTTCCCGGCACTCATGTTCATGCCAAGAAGTTCACGCAAGGTGCTGCATTCCAGCTGTGCTCCAGGGGAACGTGGCTTTTTGCAACAGACTACAGCCGGGTGATGAGACATCGAATCCTAGAGGTTGTCACCTCTCTGCTGGGGTCTCTCAGGGACCGGACAGCAGAGTAAGCTGCTGTCCAGCCCTGCTGCTATCAGTCCCTACAGGAAAACCAGAATTTTAAGACATGTTTCACTTCTCAATATCTCCACAGAAGTTTTGTCCAAGGAGACAAAAGCATCCCAAAGGAGGCTTCAGACTCTCTTGCCTGACTTCAGCCAAGGCTATGATACCCCGTGCTCCAAACTTGGAAGGGGAAATGGGAGGAGCTATGTCTCCAGAAAAGGCACTGATTTTGGAAAGGAAATATTTCAAGGTGAAGAGTGAGACAACACAGTGCAACTCAGGATGTCTGATGCCAAAGATCACCTCTCTGATGCCAGAGAGAAACATGGCGGGCAGATGTCAGCTGCAGAGGCTGAGATGGGAACCTGCCCTGGCACAGCTCACCAAACGCTCCCCAAACACAGCTCCAAGCCATGCCATGAAGCAAGGCAGGGGATTACCAGATCAGATGGTCTTGGCAAGACAGAGACACTAATTCCTGTATTGTCTTTGCTTGCAGCAAAGATTTCGTAGTAACTCCACTGAACACACCTCTGTGGCCATGACCAAAAAGATCCTGAAATATGAAAATTAACATAACCAGATGTATGGGCCACTTAATTTTATAGGAATTAGAAGCATCTCACTGCTAATCTGCCTGTGTGGGCTGGCAGGGAGTGGGGTCATCCTTGGGTTCCCCAGCTTCAGCATCAAGAGGAAGCGCTCCACCGCCTCCATCCTGAACCTGGCCGTCCTCAGGAGGACATGAGCAGCTCCTCTGCACAGCTGTTTCAACGACTAACCATACACTCCAAAGTCCTGATTGTACTGATCTTTTTCTAGCTACCTACCTAAGGCATCATTTTGTTACTACTCCTAAATTAAATTTTGATTTCTTTTTTGGTTTCCAACATGGTAACTCTGACCTGAAAGTCTGTCAAATACACAGCGACTGGGCTTCACTGCACAGCTTGTCGCTAGTGAACAGAGCAAGGCTGACTCGACTCTGTCAGAAAATGGCTTATTTTCTCTCAAAGCTTCTGTCTTGTCTGTGAGGAGGACAGGTACCTCCGGAGCATGATCATCCTAAGGTAGGTGCCTGCAATAGTTGGGATGAGCCATGTGTTGACAGTGCCAAGACCTCCTTGTTCATTCTGGGAGGGACCTGGACAGCAGACGACATCTGTCTGGGATGCTTGCAGTTAGCAGAGATGTATCCCACTGCAAGAAGCCTCCAGTTGAGCCAAGCCACGAGAGCGGAGCTGAAAGCTTTCCTCGGGAACAGCTGAGCACACTGGAAGAGCACCTCTTTGTAGGGTGGAGGGCTGAGGCTGGCTGAGGCCAGCTGAGGCAGGCAGAGGTGGAAGGGCAGAGGAAAGACCAGAAGGAAAGGACCTAGCAGCATCCCAGCAACTGGGAGACTGCTAGGAAAAGCAGGGAGGGGGCACACGGCCTGACAGGGGAGATCATCCCATTTGCAGGTGGCAGGGACGCCTGTCGTCACCCACCCATTTCCCTGCCTCTTACACAGTGGGAAGTTGTCCGCCCTTTTCCCACTGCCTTAAATCCAAGGGTACCTAACATGCCACTGCTTTTAGAAAGAGAAGCTGAAGTATAACCCATGGGTGGTGAGTCACGCTGTGAAGACACATGATGAGATTAAACATAAGAAGCATTTATTAACAGAGTTGTTTTACAGAACAAGGCAGGAGTCTTCCATAGTCGAGAGGGGTCTTTTTCTCCCTCTCTCCCACTTTTCTGTCCTTTGGAAAGTAAAAACTTTCGGAGTTACAACCTGTTGTCCAGGAAAGGGCTCCCACCATCCAGGGAGTGTCTCCCAAGGCAGGTGCAGAACAACCACAATCCTCCCGTGTGCTTTTCCTCCTTCCCAGGATCTCCTTCACCTGCAGTGTCACCCAGGCCACCACCTATCTGAGCTTCTTGTTTTCACCAGAGAGTTTTATGTGTTTAGTTATCGTGGCTCTGAACCTGTACCACGCCAAGTGATTGATTTTCATTCCAGCCTGTCTGGTGACACGTAGCTCTGGGCAGAGGGACAAGCCAAAGGGCAGAGAAACTTCCTGTCACCATCCCAGGTACTGAAGCCATGGCATCAGTAGTTCCTGGGTCTGCTCTGCTGATGCCTTTTCTTCCCCCACTCCTCCCTGCCAGCTGCGTCTTCCCAATCTTTCCCTTGTGCTCATACGAAAGTTAGTGCAGCCTGGTAGGGAGTGGCACCAGGAAACAAAACCAGCTCAGATGCAATGGTTTGTTGGTGGCTTAGTTCATAGGCAAACGAGAGCTGGTGTATCCCCCAGCTCCTTGGTAGCAAGGGCTGACAGAGACAGAGGGGAGAGAGAAGCGGAGAAAGCACTGCCACTACCCCTTTTGCGCAGGGAGTGCCTGAGCCAGGCTACAGGGATCCAGTCCTCATGGCCTCAACAGCGTCTTTTCCATAAAACGTCCACTGGTTTCCTTCCCTCTCCCTGTATCCTCTTTCACATGGAAAATCCAGTCTTTACAGAGTCTTCAGGCAGGGCTGCGCTTTTTGGGTTGTTTCATTTTAACCCTACTCCTCTTGTTTTTCTAGATGAGGAACAGACACACCAGAAATAGATAGAGACCTCAGGTCATGATTGCAAAATGGCATTTGCTCAGGCTAACCATCCAGACAGCTGGGAGAAAAGTGGGAGGAACCATATGAGAGGCAGTTCCAGTCAAAAACCCTTGCGTGCAGACAACCCACATGATGTGCGGACAAAACTGTGCAGCCGAAGCAATGCATTTTGGGGAAAGCCTTCCAGGGGTGATCCCAAACGCATGCCTACTTGCCTGGTAACAAAGCTGAATGTGAAATCTCCACATATTCTTACACATGTCAGCACCCGCTGGAGATGCACACACAAGGGTTTGCCCAGGAACTGTTCTGTCTTGCTGTGCCAAGCTTCCTTACCCACCCGCACCCTGCTCTTAAGCAGACACACCAAAAAAAACCTGCTGGCATGAGCTGAGAGCCTCTGCAGCTCTGTTTTAATAGTGCGCAGGGTAGAGCAAGCTCACTTTTGAGACAGGAAAAACTCAGAACTGTTGAATACAACAGATTCAAAGCAAAAGTTTCAAAGCAAAAGGTTTCGATGGTTATTTCATCGGCTGTCCAGTGTCCACCCCAGGCAGGAGTTCCCATGCCACCCAGCACATTTCGTTGTGCTGCAGCTAATTCTGTTCAGCTGCAGCCAGACCCGCACCGAAGCCATCTTCCTTGTCTCACCCTGGCTCACGGGACGCCTCCATCTTCTCTCACGGAGGGGCTGCAGAGGTTTAAACAGCTGTTTCCACTGTATTTTCTCTGGGAGTTTCACCTCTATTTTGGGGCTCTGTTACATCTTCAAAAGCCCTCTGGAAAGCAACCCTAGCAGAGAGTGTGCGCTTCTTGGCACAGCTCCCAGCCAAGAAGTAAATAACAGGGTTGATACTGCTGTTCACACAGGCAAGCAGAAGAGAGCTGTCATAGACAAAAACAGAAAAATCAAATAGTCTTAGCAAGATCCAGTAGCCAAAGTCAGCAGTGAAGAAGGGGAAGAAGAAGATAGCTAGAAGGACCACAACACAGAGATTCTTTGGGGGATATTGCCATGAACAGCACAAGACCCTGGCAAGCAGGGTTAGACCGGAAAAAATGAGGATAAGCACGGATAAGAGGTAGCTCAAGACAAAGACAATGAGTGCTGCAGGGTTGAAGTAGACGGTCATGGTGAGCAGGAAGGAGAGGGCCCAGAGCGGGGCACACACGAGCACTGGCAAGCACCGGGAGTGGTGGCAGGGACAGCGGGCTGTGGGGACGACGGCCAGAGATGTGATGGCACTGAAGGCTGTCAGGAGGTAGACGCTGGCGGTGAAAGTGAAGAGGATGGTGATGTTCAACACAGTTGTCACGTCCAGCCTGTGACAAAGGCTCTCTGAGCTGTAAAATATCACAAGGGCAATGGCGATGGAGAGGAGGAAAGTGAAGTCGGCGACGGTCAGGCTTAGGACGTAGACGGTGATGGGGTTCCTGCGGATGCAGGATCTGAGGAACCAGAGGACAGCCCCGTTCCCCATCAGCCCGCAGAGGCAGATGAACAGGGTGAGAAGGACTTCGCTCAAGTGACTGCCTTCACAGTCGGTCCAGTGGTAGTGATTGTCCTCAGGCCTCAGCAGCCTGTGATGCCAACTCGTGTTATTCGCTGTCCCACCGGGCTGGCTCCAGCAGGCAGGGATGGCTCTTTCCATGGCAGGGAACAATGCGCTCATGATGAGACCTCTGCTCCTTCTCCTTCCCCCTCGCACAGCTGCAGGGACGAGATGAAAGGCAGACGTGTTAGCAACTCTGCTGTCCCCCACGCTAGGTTTTTGAGATCTTTGCAGCCATGCCCCAGCTTCCATGTGGAGGAGCACAGAGAGAAACAAGGGACAGGAGACATGGAAGACAGGATGTGGGGAGACGGGTATGAACCGCCCGGTACAAGAGCAGGTACAGAAGTGGAGCAAAAGCCAGGGAGATGCCTCCTTCCTGGCTTTGGACAGGACAGATCTGGAGAAGGGAAATAATAGGAGGAAAGGATTATCCTTGGAGATGGAGTTGTCAAAGAGCAAGTGGGTTTGAGGGTGGATCTGATATGGATTTTCAGGTATCTAATATTACAACTGATATTACTAAACTGCTGGGTTCCTTCAGTGGGACACTCATTTCATTATTCCCCTGCCACCTTTTCCCCACAATATTTGTAGGTCTTAATATCCTGGAGACCACTATTCCCCAATCAGATTTGGCACAAATTAACCAACAGGTTCAAAACCAATGAGGCGAGGCACTGATTAGGGCTGAACCTCA